TGTGACTGTCCCCAGACAATGACTTACCTCCATCAGGATGGATCCTACAGTAGATCTCCCCACGCCAAATTGGTGTCCCACGGAGCGGTAGCTGTCGGGGGTTGCCAGCTTCCAGAGGGCAATGGCGACCCTCTTTTCCAGGGGGATGGCGGGCCGCAGGTGGGTGTCTTGCCGTTGCAGAGCAGGGGCGAGCCAGGTACACAGCTCCTGGAAAGTGGTCTTTCTCATGCGGAAGTTCCGTAGCCAGTCTTGGTCATCCCAGATCTCCATCACGAGCCGGTCCCACCATTCAGAGCTGGTGTCAAACCTCCAAACACGCCTGTCCACGAAAAAGTTCGGAGGCAAGGAGAGTGCAGCTGCCTGACGGAGGAACCCCAAAGAAGTGTAGCGTAGACATAGCTTCAGACTCTGGATCCACATCACTCCCGGACCACTGTGTCCTCTTTGGGACTCTGCAAAGTGGTCTCTCGTCCCCCTTCTGAAGGATTTATCAGCAGTCCTGTGTCTCTGCTGCCACTGTGGCCTCCAAGCCCAGCACTCCAAAGCAGCACTGCAATGCCTTGCAAAATTCCTCAAGGGACAGCAAAGGCAGCTGCAGGAGCAGAGCAAAGGGTGTTCAGGAGTGTCCCTTTAACCACGCGTCTCTGCAAAGGGCAGGCAGGCAGCACCCGGAAGGAAATGCTGCCCCCATGCCCTGGCAGAAGCAGTTCCGGGTGGCTTTGAATTTCGAAAGAGCGTCCAGCAGTCTGGACGCTCTTTTTCAAAATAGCGGATCGATCTTTCGATCCGCGCATTGTAGTCTAGACATGCTTTTTCGAAAGAGCCTCTTTCAAAAGATGCTCTTTCGAAAGAAGCCTGCAGTCTAGACATAGCCCACCTCTGTACCTTGAGGATATCCCTTATCCTGCCTTTGTAGTGCAGGAGCTAGGTCATCCAGTAGGCAACTAGTGCAGGCAGGGTGTGGCCTAGGATTCAAACCCACCCTCCTACATTTGCCAGGACGCTGTCTTATCACCCAGGCCACTCCGGAACCCACCTCAACCTACCTCCTTACCTTGAGGTTATCCCTTATCCTGCCTTCCAGGCCTACCCTGGGGCTACGTCTACACTGCAGGCTTCTTGCGCAAGAACTGTTTTGTGCAAGAGTTCTTGCGCGAAAGGTCTTGTGCAAGAGCGCGTCCACACTGCCATGTGCTTTTGCGCAAGAGATGTGCTTTTGCACAAGAGCATCCATGGCACTGTGCACACTGTCTTGCACAAGAAAGCTCTGATGACCATTTTAGCCATAGGGGCTTTTTGAGCAAGAAACCCCTGTTGCCCATTCACACTGCCATCTTGTGCAAGAGCTCTTGCACAAGATGGCAGTGTGAATGGGCAACAGGGGTTTCTTGCTCAAAAAGCCCCTATGGCTAAAATGGTCATCAGAGCTTTCTTGTGCAAGACAGTGTGCATAAACGCTCTGCAAGTTTTTGTGCACGCAAAAAGCCTGCAGTGTAGAAGTAGCTTGGGAGTGTCTGGACAGCCACCACAGTCTGACTCCCATATTAAGAAAGCAGAATAAGGGACCCGCTGAAAGTAAGGAGGTGGAGTGGGATCTCCAGTGAACTCTAGGATAGGGCATCAGCCTTTGGAGCACAGGGTGGTGGGCTGGATCCCCGCACCCAGGCAGCAGCTAGGCATCCAACACTGGCTGCCCCAGGGATAGACCTGGCTCTCACATTAGGAAGGCAGGATAAGGGAACTGCTGAAGGTAGTGGAGTGGGGATAGGGCATTAATCTGGGGAGTGTGGGTAGTGGGCTTCAGTCCCACCCCCCTGGGGCAACCCAAGTCCTGACCTCCCTCTGCCCACCCTACATACATACATATATAGTATCATGAGCTTTCATGGGCAACACCCACTTCATCAGATGTTTTGGAGAGGAATAACAGAAACCCAGAGATTATAACATAAAAAGGAGAAAAAAATGGTCCTGTCAATTGTAGGACCAGTGCTATAAAGACTAATTATTGGGCTGGAAGTGTCCAGATTTTGATGTAAATACCACATACAGGCTGTGTCTACACTGGCATGAATTTCCAGAAATGTTTTAAACAGAATAGTTTTCTTTTATAAGTATTTCCGGAAAAAGAGCGTCTACACTGGCAGGCTGCTTTTCTGGAAAAACCCTTTTTCCGGAAATGTGTCTGTGGCCAATGTAGACGCGCTTTTCCGGAAAAAAGCCCCGATCGTCTTTTTCGCGATCGGGGCTTTTTTCCGGACAAGACTACTGGGCTGTCTACACTGGCCATTTTCCAGAACAGTGTTCCGGAATAAGGACTTATGCCCGAGCGGGAGCAGAATAGTTTTTCCGGAATAGCGGCTGATTTTTGCTGCTTTTCCGGAAATTCAAGGGGCCAGTGTAGACAGTTTGCAGCTTATTCCGGAAAAGCGGCTGATTTTCCGGAATAAGTGGCCCAGTGTAGACACAGCCATGAAGTAAGGATACAGAAAGCCTAAATCTGTATTTCCTAGCTGCTGTGCATTTGATTCAGATTCTTAACAATACTTCTAGACACAGATTTGTGGTTAATATTCTTCAGCACTTCTCACTAAAAAAAGCTCCCAAATGGTGGTACCATATATTAATAGTAGACCTGATTTATATCTGAAGCACAGGTCACACAATAGGGGAAGGTTGTATACATTTTACCAAGAGAGAATGGAAGTAGATAATCCCTATACAAAAGCATTCCATGTGATGAACAAGTCTAGTAAGGGACACTACAAATATATGCAGGAAATGAGAATTCAGAAATTAACCACACCACCTTTGTCTGCTTTGCTGGGAAAAGGGATGCAGCATTTTCTGGATGGGTGGTGAGAAAGAGGCTTGGGAGCCGCTGCAGAAGGACAGTGGGTCAGGCTCATAATGCTGTCTCATTTCCACTAAAAGCTGATAAAGGGTAAGCTCAGCAGGAGAAGCCTCTTTTTCCTCGACCAGGTCAGGAAAACGGAATCACCTTCCCTCTCCCTGGACCTGTCATATACCAGGGATAGTTAGGGATTGCTGTGGGCTTTGCAATTGCTGCTCCTTTTTAGGGGAAGGGACTGGGAAGGAATTTTTTCCCTCACCACCAGATTGGCCAAGATGATTTGTTGAAAATTTTGAAAAACTAGTCCATGGGTCTCTAGGCATTGACTTTAATGGGAAGACCATCTGGTTCACAATTGATTACATCTTCAATGGCACAAGAGACCCTTCAAGATGCCTGAAATGGAAACGTGGAGAAAACACCAGAAATGTTTGCTGCCTAGCAGGGAAAAAAAGATAAATAAGCATTTTCCTCAATGCTTCACCTCGCTGTATGTTGCTGTCCAAAATTTCCTTTATATCTTTATTTCTTATATTGTTCTTCATTTAAATATATACTAGGGGGCTGTCTCCTGTTCACTATGCTTGCCAACCCCTTCACCCTCCTCCCGCCCCCCCAGCCACTTTCGAAGCCAGAAAGCCTGATGACATCATGCTGTCCTGCAGCAGGAAAAACTTCTTTTTTTGAGAGAGAGAGAGAGAGAGAGAGAGAGAGAGAGAGAGAGAGATGAGTCAAAAAACATTTCACTAAAAGAGTAATATCAGCTAATTCAGAGGTGGAGATCTACCCTTTGATTCCTCAAATCCTGAAAAATTACTGTATAGCTTTCAAAATGCTATCTATAGCCTTTGCCAACCACCATACTTCATTGTAACAGAGTTCCAATGAGCAGGACACAGCTACATTCAGTAAAGTTACTATCTTCATTACAACCTTGTTTGCCGTCCATCTCAATATCATGATTTAAAGTATCCTTTCCCAGTGCCCACCATGCTTATGTAAGTCTTTATAATAAGTCAGTTCATCCCTTCATCTTTGCCATTAAAAGACCAGCTATGCCAACATTTGTAATCTCTATAGTCTATCTTTCATCTTTACTTCTTTTGATATGGTCACATAGCCTACTGCCGCTATAGCTTCTTCATTGTAAGATATTTTTCATTGTGGCTTGTTCTTGTGCGCATTTGCTTGATCTTTTCCCTCTCCATGTGACACCGAACCTAGTTACTCCATAGCTAAGTTACTTCATTTCCAGGACTTCTGCTTTAACTTTTTGGGAACACCATCTAATGGACCTTTATGTATGTCACACAAGTCAAACTCTCTTCTTAATTTGAAAGCTGAATAGGAACTGTGCTGATGATCTAAAGTACCTGATACTGATTAATCAAAATATGTAACTGCAGCAACATTGACAAGTTAGAAACATACACATATTGTATGTACCAAGTGAAACTCTTGCAGAAATGAAGCATGATGTCTTTCACTATGACAAAAACATGCCACTAGCATTCAGTCCTATTCACCCAGTGTATCACCAGTTCTGGTGCTGTCAGACAAGCACAGACTGGTGAGACTACATTATTATATAAGTAC